AGTCACGAATTAATACTAGTCTGAAAATGATGCGGCGGAAGAAACGCCTTCAAAGAGGCTGGACGGCAACCATGGCATCCGGAAAGCTTGTATAGTTGCTTGCTCGCGCCTTAGCCGAACCGAGTGGACGCAAAACGGCGGAAGAAACGCCTTCAAAGAGGCTGGACGGCAACCAGGGCATCCGGAAAGCTTGTATAGTTGCTTGCTCGCGCCTTAGCCGAACCGAGTGAACGCGATACGGGACAGCGGGTCTGATATTTTATTGTTTGAGCCTAAATGCCGGAAGTTTAAGTTATTTCCAGCATTTTCCTCGAAAAATTTACCACTCTATCTAACTATTGATAAACCCATACGAATTATAGCCTAATTTGTGTAAAAATTGTCATAATTCCGTACTAAGACAGTCACGTCAACGGTTAATGTGCAATTTAACTCAAGTAAATTGCTTTTTTTTCTTTGTGCGGAAAGTTTGATGAATACATCGAAACACGTTATTATATATTCGTTAGGAAGGTACTTCCGTACTTTTGCCGTTCTAATCGTGTTCTACGTGAAAATTAGATGAGAATCAAAGTCTCTTAACGCTTGATTTTGCAGTTTGTTCGATGGTTCATTGCATTTTCAGTTAGTAAGTAAATATATCAAAATTCAAACTCGACGGAGCTCATTTTACACAATCGCATCATTAAAGGCAAACCCTCAGTTCAACGACTTTCGATAAAAAGGCGAGTTTTTTGGGAGTTTTCGACTATTTATCTAAGCATTTGACAAAATGCCTGATTCTTGACTTGACCTTCTGCGCGTGACATATTCATTAAAATAATATACATCGAATCGTCTTCGAAGTGGAAGAATAGATTTTCGAAGGACCTACGCTGAACGATCAGAATTATTTCAGAGGTGCCCAGGACGAGGTGGAGCGGAGGGGGAGAGGTTCCGGGAAACGTAACGGGGCGGGATTCTTGGTAGGGAAGAAAAATAAGAGAGCGAAAGGAACGGGGAATAATAAAAGGGAGAAATGAGGATAAATATTTTGCTTGGAACTCGATGGGCATTAACGTTTATTTACTTTGGATCAAAGTTGAGCCGTCGCCGACGGTGGCTCCTAGGACATGGGCATACCTTCCTAGACTTCCGTCCTAAGGGAAAACACCGTAAGAACATTCGAACGTTGCCAAATTCCCCCCCCCCCACTAGAAAATGGATGCACTGGAAAAAAAAACACATTGGATCTAGAGTCCAGACTCTTGAAAATATTGACAAAAAAAAATACTCTTGATCAATCAATCGGATCTCAATCGGATTTTTGTTTGAATCAAAACGAAATCTGCTTAAATTAAGAGGCTTGGAACTTGATTTAAGCTAGATTCTGATTGAATCAAGAGTACTTTTTCTACTTTTCAAGAGATGTTTTTAAGAGTCTGGACTCCAGATCCAATGAGTTTTTTTTTCCAGTGTGTCGGAAGAAAGTTATGCGTATTTTTCCTTGAAATTTTCACATGTCCCAGACTAAATTGTGAACAAAATCGTCTGAAAAATTGGAAGAAAACTACGTACAGCTTTCCCAATAAACTCATATTTTATCGAAGGAAACTTGGCAACATTCGACTGCTCATACGGCGTTTTTCCTCAGCACGGCAGAAGAGATGAGGACATTCTTTTCCAAAATGGATTCCGTCGTCGGAGTCCGAGTTACGAGCCCGAATCAATGTCTCGGAGTCTTCTCGGGAGCCCGCAGCTTTGCGATATATCGACTGATCTGCCGTTCAAACCTACGGAAAAGTATCGAGAAGCAGGGCGCTCGCAAAGAACACTTTAATAATCGATTCTTTACCACATCTTCGAATGGGGAGGTATCGATAATCGAGCATCGACGCCGCGCCGATGTCGGTAGTCAGCAGATTAAGTTTTCCCGGAAGTTTTCTTTATCTCTGCTGCACTAGGGCACAAATACCGTATCGCCATGTATACGTTGCCGTATCTCACCTGAAAAATATAGAATTTTCTCCAGATTTAATGCACTCTTTTATTTGATCTAATTTCGTTTACAATTTAATTTAAAGATTCCCCGAATCGCCTCGCGCTTCAGGCGTTTTGCATTTCGCGTTTCGCGTTATTCTTATGGTTTTATATTAAGGAGTAAAATATCGGACAATTTCAAAGTTTTTCTGGAAGTTTGCTTTCTCTCGGGAAGCTACTATACTGAGGAAAGAACGTCGTATCACCACTTAAATGTTGTCATATCTCCCCTGATAAATATCGAATTTTCTCCAGCTTTAATGCACTATTTCATTCGATTTTCTTTTTCGCAGAATTTCGTTTGCAATTTACTTTAAAATATGTACTCAACATTTTAAAGTTTTGCCAGACGTTTTTTCTCTCTCTCGTTTTCTCTCGGCAAACTGTTTTATCAAGGCAAAAATGTCATATCACCATCGAAACGACCATGCTATAGGGTTGCCACAGTCAGGGAAAGCTAGGAAATGTCAGGGAATTTTAAAAAGTCAGGGAAAACCGGGAAATGTCAGGGAAAATTTGTTAAATCACCTTCATTTGCTTTCTAGAATGGGTTTGAGGTTTCGAACAACAAATTTTGCCGGAAAACTTTTTGCAATTATGCCTTCTTAACTATGCGTCACATCTTCAATTGTCAGGGAATTTCACCAAAATGTGTTAGGGAAATCAGGGAAATGTCATGGAATTTCATTTTCTAAGAAGGTTTCCTAGAAGGAAAAATGGTTTCTCGCAATTTTGTCCAAAATTTGATCCTCTTTATCCTTGTTTTTTTTTCCGAAGTTTTCGATCTAAAGCATGGTGTCTAGGACCGGAAATTACCGTAATTTGATCAGGGAATGAAAAATCTCAGGGAAAATAAGGAAAACATGAGGGAACAAGAAACTTCTTTAATCATTTTGAATACCAGACCAATTATATTATTGATCTCCGTCCGGCTGGCTCCGTTGAGCTGAAAACGCTTGAAGGCGCCGAGGAGATAACTATATCGACTCTCATGTAATGTGGTGAAGTATCACAGTATTTGAAGGCGTTTTAAATCGTGATACTTCTCAATCGCATATGTTTGGACTTGTGGTTCTCAGATGTCAGGGAATTTCATTTTCTAAATTCTGTGGCAACCCTGATGCTATATAGACGCCCCTTGCATAATTTTTAAAAGAAAAGCCATTTTACAAAGTTTCATGAAGTTTTCCACTATTCCGACGTGGGCGCGTGGAATTGTAGAACCGTGGAAGATTCCGCACCGCTGCTTTCGTAATGGCAGAGATTTGCGAATTCTCTTCGACGACATCAAAAGGAACCCGAAAAACTCACGAGCCTCGTTGAAAACGGTCGAGCAGGGATAGGGTCAGGCCGGCTGCGTTGGACGAAGATTTTTCAAGTGCGGCAGGGATCCAGTCACTTTAGAACGCGTTTAAATAAAAAAGAACTATATCGATACTGACATGAGCCTCGAAACCCATAAGAACACATGCAAGACAAGGCTCATGTCAGAACGGGTATAGTTATTTTTGATTAGAATACGTCCTTTGTCTTCGAGAGATCTGGCGGACTCGTCCCGAAAAGTGAAGATGGCGGCAAATTAAAATCACTCGAGTGCGGGGATCCCTTGTTTCCCCGCTTGAATTCGGCCACTCCTGACCCGAGAGCATCTCGACGCCCAGCTTTCAGGGGGAACCTCTCGGAACTTCAAAGAAAATTAACGGCGTCTTAAAAAAGTCACAGCCGCGCTTATTGTAAACACTTTGTCGATCCCTGATGCACGATTATCGCCTTTTTTCGAATAACCAAAGGGTCACTCCGTCATTTCGGTGGATTTCAAATTTTTGAAAGAGGGTTATTCATATAGGCGAAAAATGTACCCAGCCCGGAATGTACGAAACTTTGTGAGCTGATAGTACTAGTTGAGAGAGGCTTATCCCTAGCTCCGTTTTTGCAGGAACCCCAGGGAATCAGCGTTGCCATTTTTTAAAGTCGTAACCTTCAAACACCCATAACTTTCGCANTTTAGGGTGTTCGGCGAACACTGCGAACCTATGGACGCCACGCCACTGATATACTGAAAAAGTACTATAAAAGTACTGATTTTTGGCCAGCCTGTTTTAGTAGACACCCTGTAAATTTTTCACTATGGACCTGTAGACAAGGTACAAATTCAAGCATTCTGATAAATGTATCTCGATCAGAATTTCTCGATCAAAACATTCAGCACGATTCCAGTAACGAAAATTACTGAAACCAACTGGACGTATTTCTTTCAAACGGAACTATGTGCAGTATGACGTGAGCGCTGTTATGCATATATTCTTATGAATCTCAGGGCTCATATTTTAATGGACACAGTTCCGTTTATGATTCCCATCCATTCTCACGGCCCTAGACTAACGAGCACACCCCATATTTCCCACCCGCACATAGTTCTGTTCGGTGGAAGTACACCCATTTCATGTTCAATGGCTGATGATTCGGCGATTTCGAAACTGAAAAAAGTTGTTATCCTGGACTACAACTGGACGTGTATCTGCCAAACGGAACTATATGCATTATGACGTGAGCCCTGTTATGCATGTATTCTTATGGGTCTCAGCGCTCATGTCTTAATGCACATAGTTCCGTTTGACAGAAATACGTCCAACTGTCTGATGCGCAAATTTCAGACTTTTTCCCGAGCGATTTAGCAACAGTAATAATAGCTGCTTACTGAGTAGTGGAACTGTTTTCCCGAAACTTGCTTTATCTGCTTCCGACCCGCTTGAGGGACTCTTACTTGGATAATAATTTCCATGATCCTCAAATTTCGGTGAGTAGAGCTCCCTTTCTCAAGGGATCCTGTCTCGAGTTTTGTTAATCAAAGAGATTGACGGTGGTTTTTAATGAGAGTATATTGAACCTTTTATTAGAACCTGTCATCATCCACCCAACCACAGTTGTGGTGTATTCATTTTGAGGCTGAAATTTAAGTTTAATTTTTTTCGTTGTTTCAGGACCGGAACACCGGGAATGGTGGTGGACCCTTAGAAAACATGCGGAATTTGGAATTATATTTGAACGATATCATGCGTGGAAATGACAATCCAGACCAGCAACTTAAAGGTAAATCATCACTTCAATGTTAATTAATCATTTACGTAATCATAGTGTCAGCCTCAGTGGTGTAGTGGTCAATGCAGTTCGCTGCCAACACTGAGGTCCTGGGTTCAATTCGAGGATCATTCTTGGTTCAAAAGGATCGATAAACAGGGTGTTCGCAGCGAACACCTAAATTATCGATTCTTTACTATAGCTACAAATGAGGAAATATCGATAATTGATCATTCACGCCACGCCACTGGCGCTAATCGGGGGAAGCATCGCGATATTTCTCTATTTGAAGCTATGGTAAAGAATCGATTATTAAGGTGTTCACTGCGAACACCCTGTTCATCGATCCTTTTCCATAGCAGGGTGTCTAGCATCAGGAGAAACCGGGAAATATCAGGAATTTTGGCCGATCAGGAAAAAATCAGGAAAATTGGAGAATCGGACGTTTTATCAGGAATTTTTCTCACGCAAATCTCCTCAGCGGAGAAAGTCTTACTGCTATTTGCCTACCGTGCCAGGAGTCGAGAAAAATCAGGAAGATATCAGGAATTTTCAAAATGAAAAAATCAGGAATTTTTTTATACAATATCAGGAAAAATCAGGAAAATATCAGGATTTTTCAAAATTAAAAAATACTAGACACCCTGCATAGGGTCGAATGACAGTTCTATCGATAAATCGCAAATAGAGGGAAGAAAAACAGAACGTTTTTCCGAGCGGGCTCATCTCAAAACTGTTACGAACAGACGCTGTTTTCCGAGGGAGAGCACCGTGTTTTCGAGTCTATTCGCTGTTGTTATGCCGCGCCGAGGCGAACGCAGAATGTTTGTCTGGCCCAGGAAAAACTTCACCGGGGCATCGCTGCCGTGCCACGGAAAAGAGCCGTAAGCGGAGCCCGGGTTGAGCCGCGAGACGCACTAGCGGACGTGCTAACCATGGCTCAAGTTGAAATGCACTTACGGGGTTCCTCCGTAACACGGCGGATCGGACTCCCGGGAGGCGAAGGGGGGGAGGAGGGGGGCTACTTTGTAAGTTGTCAAGCGCGTATTGACCCCGAATGCAAGCAAGCGCCTGCCGGGCCGGAGCATACGTCCCGCACTGCTCCGCTGTATCACCGACGGCCGCGCCTCCAATCTGACACTTCCGTAGTCCGCCCAGCCCCCCGGTCCCCCCCCTCGTCCGAGGGGTTTCCCCCGGGATGTTCCCTCGTCCGTTTCGGAGAGACATAACTCATTTCTGTTTTACAGCCCCGGTGCCGAGTGTACTCGAGAATAAATTAAAGTGTAATCGATTCGGCCGTGCATGAGCGTGTTCACCGTACTGCCGTGCTAAGGGAGAACGCCGTATGAACATTCGAGAGTTGCCAGGGTGTCTACAAGTCTGGAATTTCCGGAAAGTCCGGAAATAGTACTGATTTTTTAAGGGCGGTCCGGAAGTACTGAAAAAGTGCGGAAATTCCGCAAGAAGGTCCGGAATTTTTTTAATTTCTTGTCTTTTTGCCGCAATTTCAAATTTTCGAAATTTTCTGAATTTCGTCAAATAGAGGTACTGAAAAAGTACGGAATTTTTCTATTGGAGGAGGTACTGAATTTCTTGAGAATGTACTGAAAAACTACTGTTAAAGTACCTATTTTTGACCTGCCTATTTTAGCAGACACCCTGGTTCCCGAATTTCCTTCGATAAAATGTTCATTTTTGAGGAAAGTTATTAATATTTCCCCTTGGAATTTCTGTGGGTTTCGGTGGAATTGCGAGCAAAATTATCAGAAAAATTGGAAGAATAATATTCATCAGTTTACTAGGAAATTCATGTTTTATCGAAGGAAATTTGGCAGCGTCTGAATGGTTCATACGGCGTTCCTCTTTAGTACGGCAGCGTACGGTACGGAGAGCCGTTCAATGTACTGAAATGGTGCGGAGATTGAGAGGGCCGTACGGAAGTGCGGAACACGTCCGGACTTTTCGCAGAAAGCAACGGAAATGTGATATTTTTGCGAATCCTCGAAAGCGTGAAAATTGACCGCGGAGGCTTATAATATAAACAGGATCCCTAAGCTTTTTTTTTTCTTAAAAACGTTTTTCTTTAAACATTACATAACTACTAAAGGTTATATTGTTTGTTACATGTGCATCTATTGACATGTATTAATATTCTAATCGAGGATTAATCTGAAAATACGTCAGAATCAACTGGATTGCATTTTGCAAAAAGGAACCAGAATCATTGCAATGATGTTAAGATTGTGCAACTTCATCCTTTGCAATAAAATTACTGAAATCATGAAAAGATATGAAATTTCCATAGTAATTTTTGTCTTAAATTTACAGTTTTTAGCGTGCAAAATGGAAACTGTCAATGGATAATCAGGTTTTGCTTCCAAGGCAAAAGAAGTTGCACACTCTTTGCATCATTGCAATGAGCCTGATTCCTTTTTGCATGCAATCCAACTGTCGTACAATTTATATTGTGTTCCAAAGTTAAACGCGAATATTTTTAAATTTGATTTTTGGATAAAAATAAAAATTTTTTGTCGTATAACTTTTCCCCGAAAATTCTCCCCCTAAGAGGTACAGGCCCTCCCCCGGAAATCCTACCCCCACGTTAGGTTATGAGTCCAGATTTTTTGAGGTCAGAAATATGCTCAGCGTGCAGTACATCTTTGTTCAGTAGGTAATCGACCGATTCTGTGAAACTCAGCGGAAAGTTTCGATTTGAGGTAATATTTTCCGTACTTTCTAAATATAGCGGAATAATTAAAAAAAAAATTTACGGGAGCTTCACTTTTTAAGGTCGCGACCTCCCGCTCATCCCCTGTGGGGGGAGCTGGGGGGAATGGGGCTTCGAGGCTGTATAATTTCGATCCCTCCAGATCGATTCCCAACTCGTCCTCGCAGCCAATCTCCCGACTTCATCCGACCAAAAATAACCAAGTGAAAGACCTAGTACAGGTGGTCAAGGACACCCATTATATTCAGCAGATCGCCATATTTTGCCGGACATGGACTTATTTAAATCAAAAAGAACTACATCCATTCTGATATGAGCCCTGAGATCCATCAGAATACATGCATGATAGGGCTCAAGTCAAAATGGATCTAGTTCCTTTCAATTAAATACGTCCATTTTGCATTTAAGATCTACAGTTTCTGGATCATCCGTAGAAACACTCATCTGCACTGAAAAAAAGGATTGGTAGAATTTACCATTCCTTCACGCTGTATTTCACACAGCGTAAATTCAAAGTCGATTTTGCCAGGGGAATGGTTACCTGTTCCCAGTATATAGTAACGTATTCTTTTCATCTGTCAGAATTGACTCTGAATTGACGCTGTCTGAATTACAGCGTGAAGGACTGGTAAATTCTACCAATCTTTTTTTTCAGTGTGCATCGGGAAACTAATGATACATACGTTGCTCCTGAACTGAGCCACAAACTGTAGTTCCTCGTTGCTAAATGGACGTATTTATGCTAAAAGGAACTATGTTGCACACAAAGCGTATGCACATAGTTCCTTTTGGGATTAATACGCCCAAATGTAGTCCATATCGTCTGTGGTCTGTATTAATTACGCGTGGCCTCAAGATATTTTTTAACTTCGATCATGGCATCATCGAACTTTCATCGACGGTGTAAGTTAGCGATCACATAACTCGTTTGCGGTGTCTGAAAATCTTCACCACTGTGTTATTTTTTGAAAGGAGAACAAAGTGACATCATTCCTTGAAGTTTTTGCAGAATTTTCTTCGCACAGAGAAGAAAAATCACGGCAGTTTTAAAGAATTTCCGTCAAGTAGTTTTCCGTTTAAAAAATAAAATATTAAAGGAAGTCTACGACGTCGCAAACCGAGTTATGTGATTGCCGACTTACACCGTCGTTATGTCTTTTTCTTCAGAATGAAATCCATGAAGAGGCATTTTCATTCCCGTCAGAATCGGAAAGTTGATCATCCGCAAAACTTAGCAACTACGAGGGAGACTAAAGCGAAGCCGTTAAAACGAATTTCCGGTCACTTTTCACACTTCCGGTGGTGTCCCGTCACCTTACGTCCGGTCCATATGTTTGCCAACCTGTCAATTTCCGATGAGGCTCAAGGCTGTTTTCTTTCCACGTCCAGTCTATTTTCAAACCCGTCTCAGTTTTCAGCAGGTCTCCCTGACTTCGTCCTCTTGCACATCAATGTATTCTTTGGATAGTTCGAAGTTGAATCATAGTGTCCAGGACCGAGAGTAACCGGGAAAACCAAGATTAATCAGGGAACACCGGAAAAAAACCACATTGGATCTAGCGTCCAGACTCTTAAAAACATCGAAAAGAAAAAATACTCTTGATTCAATCGGATTTTTGCTTAAATCAAGAACCAAGCCTCTTATTTTGAGCGGATTTCCTTTTGATTTAAGCAAAAATCTGATTGAATCAAGAGTTTTTTTTCTTGTCAATGTTTTCAAGAGTCTGGACTCTACATCCAATGTGTTTTTTTCCCAGTGAATGAATAATTTCATGGAATGAATAATTTCAGTGAAAAATCAGAAAGTCTGTTTTCGAAACCGAGAATCTCTTCCTCTACCGATTCGAGACAATTTCGTTTTTAAATTTTGCGGAAATGTTCCTCACCCATTCTTATTAAAATTTATCCTATTGCTTACTGGTAAAAAAAGTAGCTTGGATCTAGAGTCCAGACTCTCAGAAACATTGACAAGAAAAAATACTCTTGATTCAAATAGAAATCCGCTTAAATCAAGAGGCTTGGCTCTTCGATTCAAGGAAAAATCCAATTGAATTCAGAGTATTTTTTCTTGTCAATGTTTTTAAGAGTGTGGACTCTTGATCCAAGCTACATTTTTTACCAGTGCTCCTGAGTCGCAACGGGCTCGTTGCAAACTTCAGCTAGAGCCAAAATGAGAGTTGTTTCTCTTAAATCATGGCTCAAAACTCACGATAAGGGCATCGGAAAAGTCTGAAATGCATTTTTTACTTCACGATCTACGTAATATGCGTTGTCACAAGCTTTC